TAACAATGGAGGAAACATCAACGTTTATGGGGCTAGGCCACCTCTTCATGACCATCTTCCTATATGGCTTCTCGGCCTTTATCGCGGCCCCGGTGATTACTGACGTTAGCATGGCCGCGCTATGTCCCGGAAAAGACGAGTGCTCTCTCGCCATTTACCTCTCCGGCCTTCAACAAGCCGTACGTATAAACTATAAAAATCAATAATATTTTTGCATTCTAAACTAAAAGTGATACTTTTTTTGTGTTTTCAATGTAAATTGACTCATTTCCACATTTATCCGTCCAGCTTTCTGTACATTTGTTTTGTTTTTGTTTCATAAAGCATTAAAGTCTGTCGTCTGTAAATTTTCTTAGTTTATTCAAAAAAATTCGTAGTAGAAAAGGTTATTAAAGAGTTTATATTTTTTTTTTATAAATAGATCACAGGAGTGGGATCGTTGATGATGATGCCATTGGTAGGAAGCTTGTCGGATAAGCATGGGAGAAAAAGTCTACTCACACTTCCTATGACACTCAACATTCTACCTCTTGGTACGTTTACTCATCATCATCCCCACTTGCTTGGAACTATATTATATACGTCACCTTTTATTAATATCCCTTGCTTCAAAGCAAAAGCATCTTATAGTTTATGTTATATTTTTGGTCAGTAAACATTCTATAATGCATCACATATACTTCCATTTGCTTTTCAAATTTAAGGGAAATTGCTATCAACTATGGGTATTCGGAATTGAGGAAAACTTGAAGAATATACTCTTTAAAAAAATAAAATATATGAAGAATATATACTAAATTAAAACATATCATAAGTTCAAACAATTTTTTTGTATTCGTTATTATTTTTTGATAAACGGTAGTGTGAATTTAGTCTTTAGAATATACTATTTTCAGTGTTCAAAAAGAGAAGAAAAATCGATGGTGTAGTTCCTACCAAAATAATATCGAAGACTAAACATTCAACCTTCAAATTTAAATTACAAAATATAAAAGAAAGATAGATAGAAAAAAAAGAAGGGAACACATCAAAGTATGTCACAAAAGAGAAACCATACTTTTTCTTTTGATAAGAAAAAAAAAATCATCTTTAATTACCAAAAGCACATCCAAGTATGATCACAAGAGAGAAATCATAGTTTTTCTTTGATGTTTCTTTTCTTTACGGTTGAAAGTCGAGTAGCTTAATTAATATCTCATTTCAAAGATATGAAATAACATTATTGCAAAACATCTGATTTATTATTTTGATGTTGGGAAAAAAAAAATTGAACAATTACAGCTACATTAGCGTATAGTAGAGGGACGACCATCTTCTACGTCTACTATGTTTTCAAGACTTTCACTTCCATAGTTTGTGAAGGAAGTGTCCTCTGTCTTGCCCTTGCTTACGTGGTACGCCCCTTCTTTTTTCCTAGCTATAACATTATCGAAGAATGTAAGTTAGCAGAATCAATAATCAATTTATTTTTGTTGTATTAACTTGTTTCTTAATTAATATGTGTGAAAAGTGTTAGTTAAAACTATAAGAAACCGCGGTGAGAATTTTAACAAAGATTGGGGGGAAATTTCAGGCAGATAATATACCAGAAGGTCGACGAGCTTCGGCATTTGGAATACTAACGGGGATTAGCTCGTGCGCATTCGTCTGCGCCACACTCTGTGCTCGGTTTCTTTCTACCGCAGCCACATTTCAGGTTTCTCTCTATCTACTTAGAGATGTAGCATACATTTGTATGTATATTAGTTTAATTTCTCAAGTATTTGATTTGTCTGCTCTATAGGTTGCGGCAACAATGGCGGTTTTATCAACGGTTTACATGAGGGTTTTCCTACCGGATTCAATTCGAGACCATAGTCTTATAGTTGTTCCAAGTGAGAAGTTGAGTTGTGC